CTGCGAGTGCAGCATTTTTCCAAATGAAGCAGAGAGTGTTTGAGGACCAGGACATCTGTAGGGATACCAAGGGGCTTGCTTATAAAGCTATTGTCCTCCCAACCCTGCTATACGCCTGCGAAGCGTAGACTGTCTACAGATGTCACATGCAACTCCTGGAAGGATTCCATCAGCGCTGCCTCCGGAAAATCCTGCAAATCTCTTGGGAAGACAGGCGGACAAATGTCAGCGTGCTGGAAGAAGCAAAGACCACCAGCACTGAAGCCATGATCCTCCGCCATCAACTCCACTGGACTGGCCATGTTGTCCAGATGCCTGACCACCATCTCCCAAAGCAGTTGCTCTACTCTGAACTCAAGAACGGAAAATGGAATGTTGGAAGACAGGAAAAAAGATTGAAAGATGGGCTCAAAGCCAACCTTAAAAACTGTGGCATAGATACTGAGAACTGGGAAGCCCTGGCCCTTGAGCACTCCAGCTGGAGGTCAGCTGTGACCAGCAGTGCTGCAGAATTTGAAGAGGCACGAATGGAGGGTGAAAGAGAGAGATGTGCCAAGAGGAAGGCACGTCAAGCCAACCCCGACCAAGATCGCCTTCCACCTGGAAACCAATGCCCTCATTGTGGGAGAAGATGCAGATCAAGAATAGGGCTCCACAGTCACCTACGGACACACCAGAATACTGATCCTGGAAGACTATCCTACTCGGCCAACGAGGGATCGCCTAAGTAAGTAAGTAAGTAAGTAAGTAACTGGAAAGGCCAAACCAGGATCAGTAGGTCGATCTGCTGGATTATCTCTAAGTAGAAAGACAACAGACTTTCAGAAAGAGAAACATTATTTACCTGTGGAAGATGTGCTTTCAGACGAAGACCTTTTTCTGGAAGGGCTAGAGCTTGTGCCCTCTGTTGACCTCTGCAAGGGTTTGTCCTGTGCTGGAAGGATTCCCGCTGAAGAGCAAAAACAAGGTCAGAAAGAAATCTGGATGCACAGATGCCACTGAAGGTGAACAGCAACATTACAGCACACACACACGCATGTACTTCAAATATAATCTTCATTAAATGGATTACTTCCTAATGGGGTGGACTGTGGCCTTCAAGGCTGTGTTGTAGGCCTTTCTATCTATAGACTGTCTCTTGTGGTTGCATCAAAGCACTGCATACACACATACATACCTATAGGCTGGTAGCTAATCCTTTCTAACTATATA